TGAGGAATTAACTATTTAAGATTTAGAGATCCTCCTCAACGGGACCTCTATTTCATCAGAAGAATATTTCAGTGGGCTCCCCAAGCACATCAAACAAATCTCAGTCCCTCGGCTAATGCTCAGCTCAGGCATAGGAGAGAAGGGTAAAGATGACAATCAAGAGTGACAGCAAAGGACAGTGTTAAAATAAGCAGACTCTTCACTTATTCTGTGAATTCAGAACAAACATTTAATAGTAACAATACAATAAAAGAATCATCATGGAGACAGCTAAACCTGCCATGGCACATCACATGTGCTGAAATTCTTATGATCATTATCAGTTGGCTTAGCTATAATATTGTTCTTGTCTTATGTCCAAAATAGTTTTAATGATATGCTCAAGTTTTGTGACATATTTAATTCAGGGAATTTTGATAGAGATGCAAATCTAGATGGGAGAGGAGGATGATGATGCATTAATAAGAACATGGGAATCTAGATGCGACATGTATATAATATATGATGCGTCGTTGATAAAAATCGAGAATGAAATTTTATATATTCAGAAAAAGATTGTAACTTTGATAAATATTTAAACATGTTTTATTTTACCATCACAATTATAGATTTTAATCTGGAAAAAATATAATGCTAATTTATCTTATACGAGATAGCATAAAACACCCTCGATTTGTCACACCCCACCTGACCCCCTATAAAGTTAATCGCAGTGTGACATAGATGGACGACTCGATCAAATAAAATTATCACCATCATTTGTTTGATTTGCAAGTCAATACGAGTGTTGATGAGAATTTTTTTATCTAGCTGAATCGTTAACCTCTGTTGCACAACGGTTGATCCTATAGAGGATCAGTTTGGGGGGGTGACACAACTTATGAAGACAAAATTGTATGAACCAAGCAAATCCAAAATATATTTAATAAAAAAACCATAAATGCTAAATATCTTTTGGGGTAGAGCCCCCAAGCCTCTTTACCATGCCCCCTTCCAACCTTATTGTGTCCTAATCTAGTGGTCGGCTTGTGACTAAATTTACTTAGGGTAGTACAAAAATTAGGCTCTATAACATATGTCGCATTGCATTTATCTCAACTAATTAGACTAAACTAAATTAAATTAATCTCACTTAAAATAAATTAGTTCAAAATTCCAAATTTCTATACTTACATTCATCTATTTAATTTCAATTATAACCCTCCATAATTTACATCACAACACTTGATAATTTGAGAACAAGTCCTGACTCAACTCCTAACTCAGGTTACTCAGTGAGTTACATTTTTTAACCAATGTTGAAATTATTGATTTGGATAAGTGACTGTGGGTTCCAGCAGCTTGACATGGTACACTATCATATTATTCTGCATGAGTTATGACTTTCTAAGAAAGATTCCGCCATTTTTGCAAAAAAAAAAAAATGTTGCGGCCCATCATTTAAAAAAAATATTAAATATAAAAAAATTAATTTATAGAGTAATGTCAGTTATAAAAAAATAAAAATAAAAATATTTATGTGGTACAATAAGATTCATCTACATTGATAATATTTTATCAATGGAATAAATGATTCGTTGGCAGAAAAAAAATAATTATAGAAAAATTACATACTCACCACACAATTCTTATGGAATTACACTTCTAACCCCTAAAATTTAATATTTATATTTACATTACTTTTGGTGTTATATATAAAATGTGTGTGTTTGACTTTTAAAAAGTTAATGAATGTGATATTATTATGTGATGTTAAAAATTCGAGTTTCATGAATGTGAATATTGAAGTTTATGTTGACTGTTTTTAAGACGTCGGGTCTCCTACTAACATTGAGAATAGGATGAGAAATGGAGAAAGAAGAAGCCCCCAATGTTTAAAAATTTGGCTTCTATTTACATGTTCTTTATGTCTTTTTAACACGTTACAAAGTAAAAAACTATAAAAGTACATAATGTTATGCCACGTTATGTAGCTTTATGTTATATCCTGCAATATCATGTTACGACATGTGATTTTATATCATGTCATTTTACATAATTTGTAGCTAAACTTGGCAGCTCGACAGCTTGGCAAATGAACTGGACAACTTGGTAGCTTGACAACCGGTCTGCAATTTTACAATATATTTGTACATCTATAATATTTATAAAATCTTTTTTTTTTCTACTATTTTCATTCTTTTATCTCTCTTGTTTATTGAAAAGAAATATAAAAAATGGAGCTCTAAATATTCATTAAATAATCTTATTTATTTTCATAAATTTTGGAAAAAAATGAGGGTTGCAACTTGCATGCCACGGTGACGCATAGGGAGGTGACGACATCTACCAATAATTATTTATAAGGGTACATTTCAGACTCATCCACTAACTTTATTTTGAGGACTAGATACATGGGACAGACTAGTAGATCAATTATTTCACTCTTAAATGACAAAGTAAAATAGAAAAAAAAAATCTATTGATTTTGATGAGAAGAGGAGGAGAAAAAAAAAAGGATTAATTTGTATGGAATAAGGGTTCAAGAGTCGAACTCAACACCTAGCAGATCGGTAAGTCAACTTGACACCTAACATGATCGACTCAACACCTAATGGCTCAATAGGTCAACTTAACATCTAACAAAGTTAACTCAGCAGACCAGCTCGATAGAGCTCTTCAGTTGTAATCGTCAAAATTTTTATATCTCTATTTCAATATTATCCTACACATAATTAAATATCAATTTAAATAAGTGAATGGGTTTGAGTTAAGTTTAAAATTATATGATTACTTAAATTTAGGCTTGGATTTCAATTAAATTATGCAAATTTGATTCAGCTCATGATATTGTTCATAATACATGAAAAATAAAATGATTGTGATTTTTAGGTGTTCTTATAATATTTTTTTTCTTTAAATAATAAACCCTATAAATAATATGAAATCATCTGAGATATAAATTTAAATATTGCTAATAAATTTGTACTTTAAAATAATAATAATAATATATTTATATAATATTTTCAACTTGACTTCCTAGCAAAAGCAAACACAACTAATGAGCGATTCATCAAGCTAACCCACTAGAAGGCTTGATTCAGACACAAACTTACATCCTTAATGCGAGATTGTTAAATAAGAAAAATAGTATATTTACATACACATAATTCATATATATTTATTTATATTTGTCTTTATTATTATTATTATTATTATTGATAAGAGATTTATATGAGCAAAGATGAATCTCGATGCATGTTGCGTAAAAGATCTTTGTAATTTAAAATCAAGATCATCTAAGCTCTGATTTCAATATTTTTTTTTGTTGCATGCCGGAAGAGTCGTGACGGTAGAGTGATAATTTAACGTCTCATTGGATTTGTGTTGCTGAGATGCTCGTTTCAAGTACAAGCATGCCGAATTCGGAATATGTTTGATCTTGCAATTATGCCCGAAAAATTTCTAAAAGCTCTTTAATGGCTTGATCTGGTCTTGATTTGACTCGGATTGAGCAAATTTTGGTGTCATTTGGTTGTCTTTCGAGCCGGTCAATTTGACTGTGAGTTTGCTGAACTCGAAGTTCTCGATGACTTTTAATCAAAGTTTGATCATTTCTTAGGAAAAAAAATTACATTAAGATTTGTGTGCGATGATATATTTGTTATTGATGTATCTTGAAAATATTTTTAATTAAAATATATTTTTTATCAAATAAATAAAATTTATTATTTAAATTATATTAAACTAATTTTAATTGGCATCAATTCAAATTCAGTTCGGGTGTTGTTTTGTAGGGAGAATTTGTGGTGTAATGTAATGCTTTTGCATGGAATTTAGTAAATTACAAATACAATATACATTATGAATAAATTTGAAGTTTACACATTTATTTATTTTAGATGAATTTAAAATTCGGTTGATTCGTCCGAATTTTAGATTTTCAACGTTCGTTAATGTAAAATATTATGGTCAGATCATTGCCTATAGCAGTCTGCCGCTACCAACACTCTCCCACTACACTCCCCCTGCCCGCCAACTGTGTTCTAACCATTGTCAGCCACAGCCACCAGTTAGTTGCCCGCTCCGCCATCGTTCGCAGCCGCCCTCCATCGCAACCAATCACTGTCGTCATATGTCAGTCGTCTCATGCAAATACAATCTGCCACATGCCAATAATATATTACATATTTTAAAAAAACACTTTTTTTTAATTTACTTTAAATAAAACAAAAAAAAATATGTATAATCATATTTTTACTTTACAATCAATTAAAT